AACTGGGATGTCTGAGACAATTTTAAAGACCCAAATGACATGTCTCCGTGTAGCAAGAATAGTCTTCCTGAAACTTTAAGGCAAGCAGAATCTCTTCGTAATTTTAAGTCACTTTTGCATAGTTATTATAATATCAAGTAAGGCACAGCATTCATGGAAAGCACGCTTTTTTTTCGTATAATTATACTTAATTGAATAATTTTAATACTCCATTTAGCGAAACCCAGTAAATGTAATTAGGGTTTTTTTAACTTTTCATATTTCATGCCTGATGAATCTGTACAACCGTGCATAAATAAAATTACTCACTTACTTACTTAAGAAATAATAAATATCTTACTAACCTCGTTTTTCTCCGTCCGTACTGTAAGTTATGGTAAATCGGGGGGAAAAAATTTGGTCTGTAACCTACCCTACGGCCCTCGAACTCGGTACGGAAGACTGAGGTATTTATAAGCTAAATATAGTTGCGAATTATAACTCATCACGCGTATTGACGTTATTTCATGATTCACACCTTTTCTTTTGTTATTCAACAACCTTTATTTAACGTACAACCCCCTAGAATATTCAACAAACTGGAAGTCCGGGGAGGGCTTGAAAATGTAGCAGGGAAGAGCGGGGCTGATGAATTGAATTCATAACCATTAATTAGAAATTTATCTGTATCCCTCGAATGAGGGATTTTATACAAATAAACCCCAAAACGAAAAAAATAATGGAAATTAATTCTCATAAAAGTTTTCGTTGCAATTAATTGCAATTCAACTTTGCTGTTTCTGACGACATAAAATTCCTCCTCTAAACAAATTTAAACTTCGACGACGAATTTGCTGAGCCAATAATTTAGTTTGTCCTTGTCAGTGATATTCAAAATCTCGGGGTTGACTTGGGGAATTGTCTCACTGTCTCCAGTCATTTGCGGATCAAATCGTTGCGTTCCCCCGCCCATTCAGACCAGACTCACGGACTGCCCAAGATGTATTTATTCGTGTATTTTGGGGTATTCGAGATGCCTTCCTCTTTTCAAGTTCTTCACCGTCAACGATAGCAATCATTCTACGGTGTGCTGAAGTTTCTTTGGATCTGTCTGTCCTTCCCATGCTAAAATTAGGCTCCAATACTTTTGCGAAAAACAATTTTGTGTCAGAAAAAAAACTCTTCTTCGCTCTCTATGAACTCCATGATAACATGAAAGCATGGACCGACCTACTGAATAATCGAACACGTCGACAAAATGATCAAAAACAACTGAACAAAAAATGCCAAGCAACCTCCATAGAGGACGCCACAAAACGTTTCTCAATAACTTGTCAAAATCTCACAATTTTGTAACTTTCATTGTTTTTTTTAATTCGATGAGGGGGTGAGCGTGCACGTGACTAGTGCTTTGTTCTCTGGAACAAAAAGTCTTATTTATTCAATCATGGTAAAACAGGGACCGAAAATTCGGTTCAATTTTTATAATATTAAGAAAGACACGTGTTTTCCATTTTATAAAGATCTATCAGGACTAATATCACGAAATAAGTTTGATAAATACCACGAACGTCAGTATTAGTCCATATACATCCGTTGTCGGTATTTATCTCTTACTTATTGATGCCAAGGGGCTCAAAGGTTCTTCTTTTATGCATAAAATGCCGTTCGCACGACTTCCTCCCCTGTCCTGTACCTTCCATTGATAAATGGTGAGAATCAATTCGATACTTTAGCTTTTCAGTAGGGATAGACTATCAGAATAGGTTGCTCCACTCATGGTAAATAATTTTGATTATAACAAATTCATCTTGTAAGATGCGCCATGGCATTATTCAGTTACCTGGTAATGATATCCGACAGTCGGAAAATGATCAGACCCTTTATGTATGTACATAACCACACCATGATTCACAATTTCACTCAATCTGACAGAACTCTGAGAACTTTAAACAAGAAAGAAAAACAAGATGACTTAAAACAGGTCAAACTTCATTTGCATTTTGAGTACGTTTTCCTAATTAATGTAAAACTAATACAGACGTTTAGCTTTTTCTTTTGCACTGTTTTGTATCCGCTTAGTTTTCTCCCTGTTTTCAACTGCTTAACTTGGGAAATTCTCAAAAGCCAAAAAAACAGCTTAAAAGGTTTAAAATGGTAAGTGTTATTACTTCAATATCCCTTTGTTTTTCCTTTCAGCATTCGTTGACTCAAGGCCGACAACCGTCTATACTTGTTATTTCTTTTGCATCAAAAGCGGTTGGACTGCTTTTATCGACGGTTTTGGAGGTTAAAATTTCAATCAAGACGTTTTTAATATTGCAAAATTAAGCCGTCTCCATTTCGAAGAGGTATTTTTTTATTTTTAAAAATCTTCATTACTATAATTTTTATTTTTACAATTTCCGAAAATGACTTTAGCAGCAAATATTAATATCCTACAAGATACTTCTTCACTGCACAGTACTTAATGGACAAAGTCACGATCATCACTAATGTTTATTGCATAAAAGTCGAATAAAACTAGACGTTAAAACCTGCAAAATGCACTTAATGTCTTTTAATAGTTACGTACATGAACTGAAATTCCTGATTCACATGTATTTTTCCGGGTGTTTTGTAAACTAACTTAATTCACCAGATCAAGATCAGACTACGAGTAGCCGCTTATTTTTCCCAGGACTCTTTTCCCTCCATCTGTCGCCTTTTATTGCAGGTGGACGATTGTCGTCATTCCCAAGCCGATTCCTCTGGGTCTGCGGCTAGGACCTTCATCCCAAAAAGGCAATACATAATCAGTATCATTTGTATTCTCGCATGCACTGAAATGGACATGGCACAGGTCTGCAGTAGAACATACTCAGTTCAGGATTACACACTGGAGGGACATGTTATCAGCACTAACTCAAAGCAGGACATATGGGGCTGTTTTCAAGAATGTAAAAGAACAACAGAGTGTCAAAGCATAAACTACGAGGTCAACACTTACATATGTGGTATCAACAACAGGACAAAAAGAGGAAGGCCAAATAGATTTGTTCGAAGAGTAGGAAGCGTTTACATGGACAATCCATTTAGAGGTAAGAGAAATAACAATGTGTATAGTGAGTAAAATAATCCCCGGAGTAGTCAATCGATAAAAACTGGTAAATCTGATTTGATTGATAACGATTTATCGATCAATCAGTAGAAATCGAGGACACACTCGCTTCGTTTATCGATTTATCTCGATTTTACCGATTTCATCGATATGTATTGGTAGATATATATCTGTTCATCCGAAAATAAAAACTGATTAAAAGCAAGTAGCAAATTTGTTGACAATTGAGAGTCCAAGGATCAAACAATTATCACTTTTTTAAAAAATCTTTTCAGTAAAAAAATCTGAAAAATCTTATCGTTTCTTTTAAACCAGGTCTAAAATGTTCTTCTGATGGCTGATATTGGCCAGGTTTATTGGCGCCCAGTTTTTGACAATGTAGACCTACCGCCCTTTCAAAACAACGTCGGTTTAGTATCCCGGAGTAGCCAATAATCAAAAACGAAATCGATAAAAATTGTCACCAATTAAGGGGTTTTTTATCCATTAATAACGGAAAACGGTGAAAATCTATTTAGGAAAATCTTTTAGCCTGAATTTCAGGTATCCCCTCGCCTCGAGGGAATCGATGTCTGAAATTCAGGCTAGGAAATCTTTATCTAAGGTTGTATTTCTCGTGATACTTGCCTGTGAGAACTGAAAGTAATTAAACCAAACCGTTTTCGTTATAATGTACAAACTAAAGGGTTTTAAAGAGAAACTTGTGTGTATAGTTTCGAAATTTCTTATTTTCATGTTTGTTGATCAGTTGTTACTCCTGGATGTGTTTTCTTAGCTAGCTGTACTATCTAACTTATGCCAGAAAACAACAATGGCGCACGTTCCGCTATAAAAAGTTAAAATCATGAAAAATAGATAATATCGATTTGAAACAGCAATTTAGTTTATCAATTTTCACTCGAAGTTCGTTATCAATCGATAAAAATCACATGATTGATACCGATCTCTATCGATACCAATTTTTATTGATTGACTATACTCCAGGAATAATGCCATATTAGTAAAATACGTGGTACAGTACTCCGATATAGCGTACTCCCTTGATATACAACGAGTCCTCAAAAGAAAATTCTTCGCCCCTTTTATAGCGTTTAAGGAGCCCTATTCAACGAACGCCTGGTATAACGAATAAAGAGTTCTTCGCCCCATGTGTCACTGTGCACAGGATCCCGATATATAGTGTACCTTCGTTATAAGAAACGTTTTTTCCACTATGATGTTTTTATATCGGGGTTTCATTGTGTATGGTTCTTCTTTCTGCCCATTAATGCAACTGGGTGGGAAAATGTACTTAGCTTGTGTCAATAGAGATGAAATAAAACCGCCTCAAGAGGCTCTCTTTTAAGTGCAAGAAGACCCCTCCCAAATTTGAGGAAAATTTCAAGCGTGCCCACCCACCAGCATTTTGGGGCACTCGTTATTTCTTCTTCGAAAATCTGAAAATGTTCCAAGATGAGTCGAACAGATTCATACAAGAACTCCACAATGAGGCTTAAATATTTTGTGCATTATGCCGAACCCCAGAGACTAGGCAAGAAGCCGCTGAAAATAAAAATGCTGTAATTAAATGAATGAAACAATTAAACTCAACTGCGATAGAGCCTTAAATGTAAATCAACTTCATGTTAAAGAAAACAGTGACAGAAACAATTAGCGACCACTTACAAAAGTTGCTGAAGTTTTCAAACTTAACGGTAGCTAACTGGCTAATTAGCTTGGAAATGCAATACATTCATTAATTATATATGAAATGCGGATGAAGAACATAAACTAAATGATTGCTCCGCTTCAAGCGGTTATTTGATCATACTGGGTAGTTTAAAAAGAGGCAAACAAATCAGGTTCCAAGAAAAAAACCTGGTATAACCTTGCCTTAACGTCAAGGCAGCATCATTTAATAGGTGCGATTCAATTTTATCTTCTAAAAGTCCCTTTAGGGGTGTTTCCATATCTTCCTGGTTTGTCCTGCAAAGACATTAAAGACTCACACACGGATATAATCAGCGGCAAATATTGGGTTGATCCTAGTAACACACGTGATCCATTCCTAGTGTTCTGCGACATGGAAACAGACGGAGGTAAGAATAAAACCCTAAATGATTTTAATATAAAAGGTACATTGTTAAAAATAATATAAAGAGTAAAATTCTGGTAAAGAGGTTTTGGGACACTCCCCTTTTCCCTTAGAGTTTGAATAGAATTTGCAAGTCATGTAATCATCAATTCACATTTACAGACATGGTTTTACTAAGGTTTCTCCTTAACCTCTACCCCATGAAAAAGATGTCTAAAATGTGTTTGGGGAATTAACTTGAGATGGTTTATGTCTGACAGACACAATGTCACGAACGTTTTGATCAGGATTGTAGCACTTATAATATTCTGCCTCTCTAATAGGAGATCTGCTCTTGCTACTAAGAGTATTTAGGTTTTATTGCGACTCCTAGTTTCCAAATGAGTCTGCAATATCACAATTGTGAAACCGACATTCATTATTAAAATATTCTTATTAGAGAAACCTAGTCAATTTTAACTGACATAATTCAATTTTTTTCAGCGCTTTTAATGTCCAAGGCAAGAGAAAACTAGTATCCGAAATGTCTTTTGCGAACTTAGGTGGAAAGGCCCGACTTTCAACCCACTACAAAACCGAAAAGGTTGATAACTAATTTTGATTAAAAAGCAATTCTTAATTTTAGGTGGATGGACGTTGATTGCTCAAACTTTGGTCAGAAACTCAACGTCTTTTCCAGCAATGATAAGAGAAAAAGACTTTAAAATGATTCAAAACTACAGCAGCGGCCTCGTGAGAGTTGATACCACAGCAATACTTCACCTAAAACAACTTATAAACTTCACGCAAATACGATACTTTTGTCGAAAGAAGGCGACAGGAAGGACATTTCACATTATGACTAAAAGTGATCCACATGGAGAAAGAGCTGTGCAATACCTCACTGAAAACCCCTCCGTCCAGCCAAGCGCCTGCGGTTCTTTTGTAGCCTTTCCGGACGATAATTCATATCTGGCTCCAAACTGCTCCAAATGGGGAAATGATGGCCGTGACATAGAATGCAATAAATGGGGCTATTACCAGAACAAAGGCTTTTTTCGCATTTATAATGATCCTATTATATGGGAAGGAAAACACTACATTAATCTGAAGCCTTCGGTGTTGGCTTGCGATGATTCCACTGACAACCCCTACCCTCTGTCCCAAGGCGATAAATGGCAGCTTTTTGTTCGATAAATTTAACTTTCTTAGTTTTGGCAAAAATACAGCAGCGCTTGACCCTGCGCGGCATTTTTTTAACACATTTGCTATACACATTTGCAACTTGCACATTTCCCAATTTTTCTCCCAACTTGGGACGACTGCAATACTCAGCAGAAATTTAAAACAAAGGTTATACAATTATTAATTTTGGCCTGGAGAGAGGGTAAACTATTACAAGGTGTATTGTGGGAAATGCGGAAGTGCCGAATAGCTGGGAACGATTTAAATTCAGCTTTTATTCTTAGATAGAAATTTGAAAGAAAAGATTCTTCGTTATGGATGCTGAAGACAGTGTTTAAAAAAGGAGAATGAGGTATCAATAAGCATCACTTTTGAAACCATAAAATGAAGCTAGCTACAGTTTTGTTGCTCGATGATTTTTGTTTCTTTGAGAGTGTAAATAAATTTTAAAACATATATTTATATGTTAAAAACCTCTTTCATAAGCATAAAATAAAGCTCGTTATACTCTGCTGCACTCCTTGTGTTCTATTCGCATAACATGTAGAGGCAAATATGTATGTGAGGGACACTTTCATTTGCAACAAAACTCCATAAAACAAAATTTAGCATTAAGGAAACATTTCACCGTCATACCGTATCACTGTGCCAGGGGATTGCTACGGTTGCGTAGTTATTTTACCCTGCCAAAGGAAGCCATGGACAGCTAATTCGTCACTGATAGGAACAATAAAAAAAGAGAAATCAAGGACCCTGGGGAAGCAAGAGTTTACTTATTTAGTGATTTTGTTTTAATGATTGGTGGCAGGTGAACATTCACCTCTTCATGATTAGGCTGCAAGATGAATGTTTTAATGACATAGAGGTGATTGCCTCGACTTACAAGCCACCTCAAAACCCGTGGAAGGGTCTAGTAAAAACTAAGCTCGTTAACCTACAAATTAGCACCTTGCCAACAAGAAAAAGAAATCAATTCATTATCCAGGATGCATGGTAATCTGTTCCTCTTGAGCAAACGACACAATCAAACTTTAAATGGTCGGGCAGACTTTCTCAATAATCAGTACATTTGCGTACTTAGTCAAGGACACTTATAAGAAGTGTTTATGTACTATTATAATACTGTGTAGCAAGTCCTGGCCTCTGTTAGTTGATTGCTATTAACACAAACATTTTGTTGATTCCCAAGAAGCGCTTCAGAGACACTTCCCCCATTGGACACCTTTTGGTGGTGATTCTGTGCATTTTTAGAACATGAGGCCAACGTATTACAAATCAAGCCATCTCATTCGCTCGCTACTTCAGCCTATCCTCGTTTTCAGGGCTTTTTCCCTAGAAACTAACCTTTGTTCTAGAATCTGAGAAAAGCCCTTGGAACCAGGACCAATGCTGATTTAACAATTACGAAAATTGTTTCTCATTGTTTCTCAATTATTATATGTAGCACTCTACTTCTTCAATTTTTACTTGACAGAAAATGTAAACTTTGAAACGGAGAGGGCTTGTAATTTTCTTTATAACTGATATAGCCTGTAAACATCTCTGAGTTACATCACTCTTAAAACCGCGCGTTTCAACTTCTTTTATCTCATTCGTCTTTCTTGTAGATATGCCATAAAAAAATAATTGATGACGAAAAAATAATTAGCTATATTCGAGATTGCTTAGAAGCGAGACTCTAAAAATGCAAGCGTTAATTACTACTTTTCGTGTGTGGTTGCCAAAAGGGGTCATGGTCTCAGGCCCGTTTCAAACGTCGTGCTATTGTCGTGCCAAACTCAGTTGCTCCAATTAAATTCGACTTTAGCACGCAGTAGCGCGACGTTTGAAACCAAGTCATGCTACTGCCGTGTAGCACGGCAAGGCTTGCCGTGCTACACGGCAGTAGCTCGACTTGGTTTCAAACGTCGTGCTACCGCCGTGCCGAACTCAATTCATAAATTATAAATACATCAGAATACATTTAAAAGTTTGCTAAACCGTTTCTATATTTTTGTGTTTTGTTTTCGGCAACAGCCGTTCTATTCGACTGAGTTAAATTCGACGTCTGAAACCAAGTCGTGCTAGTGTCGTGCTGCAGTCGAGCTACAGTCGAGCCAGCTTGGCACGGCAGTAGCATGACGTTTGAAACAGGCCTCAGGCGTGCCTAGCGGGGATCGTGAAAACTGAGGATAAGATCGCGACGTGACCAGCGCCATGCATTTTTTGTGAACAAAGTTTAGGAAAGATTAAGGCAAAAGATGGCGAGCTTTTCCTGAACGGGTTGATCCACGAATTCTATCGCTTGAAAGCGTTGATTACTTTGGAACGAGTGAATACTTCAGTGGTCGAAAAAAAAAACAACAGCCTTTATGAGCAAACCTCGATGGTGATGAACTGTTCGGGCGTCTTGTCTCCCGTACGCCAAATGTCCATCGATAGTGTACATTGGGGAGACTGAGCACAGGTTGGCGGACCCGCTTTAGAGAGCACCGAAAGTTGTCATCAACGGGAGAAACGACTTGCCTCACCTGCCCACTTCAACTAAGCCAATCATGCACTGGAGGACATGAAGGTTGCTTTTTGAAGGCTGGCCTAGCCAACCAGGAATACAGAAAGAAGAAGGAGATGAAGTTGATTTTTAAATATGGGACTGTGAATCCTAGTGGCCTTAATCACGACTTTACTTTCAAGTGAATAACTCACTTTGTGCTTACTTTAATGTACGTTTGCAAAATTGAGACGATTTATTCCCTCGCTTTATCAAGTAGAGAATACAAAGGCTAAAAATATTTTTCTGGTTACAAATGGAAGAAGTTCTAAAGAAAACTCAGTTCTCGTATTGGTTATAAAAAGAAAGCTTCAAACAAAAGTGCTGCTTCGAGGTGATCATCCGTCTGCTACTCCAAAAGAGAAGCCGGCTAAAAAGCAATCATTAAGAAAACAAAGTTTTGAAAGAATTTTCGGAATCATCTCGGTTACACTACTTGCTCTCTTGAGTAAAGTTTTGCTGTTGTACATGTTTATTAATCTTTCATTTATATTTTGATTGTCAGTTAAGAAGTTTAGTTTTCCCGCGTTACTTTTTTTATCTGTCGTGGAATGCCGTTTGAATGAATTGAATTGAGGAATTGAGATTTAATTATTGTCAGCATCTGCATGTTTACCCTTTCTGCATCCTCGCCGAAAAAAATGTATACATATAAAAGAGTTGTCGTTTATTCTTCCAACCAACTGGGAGCTTTGCTAGCTTTGAAAAAGCAGCTGTGCAAAACACGTACCACCTGGTTTGTGCCACTGTAAAATTACGCCTGGTTCAAACGTCCAACTTCTCATGTGCTAAATCTGATGCAAATGAACGAGAACAATAGATTTTCCTCATGAGCGTTAAATTCGACAAAAGGGAAATGCGAAGTTAACCAGGCCTATAGTCATTCGTAGAGAGAAAAAAATATTAAATAGTAAGTTATTTACTGTCCCACGCCTTTACCCAGAAGAAACAATTAGTAATTTATTGCAAGGCTACCATCCGATATTGTGATACATAAATGTAAAGGCTGGTTTTATACGCAACGGTTTGTCGGCCCGATTTTGAGAAGAAAATATAAGCTTTCGACGAACACTGAAATAGGTCGATTATTCATTAAGGTTTTCCCTATAGAACAAGAGATTGATCAGTTTATCATGCCCATAACCTGTAAGTTTGCCGCCACCGAAAATTTTCGAATGATCAAGGCGGCTTTTCCAACATTAATCTTAGGGGTTGACCAATAACTTTGCAAAGGGGTGTGGTGGGGGGTTCAGGGATGTAGCAGATGTAGTTTGGGCAAGAATTATTTTCCAAGCCTGACTACTAAATTACTACTAATTTTTGATAGATGAAAGGGTGTTTTTCATTTTAGGTCTGTTTGAAGAATGTTTTTTCCTTCTCTTAATCACACAATCCCTCCCTCAAAATTAAATGGATTGCCGTCCTAAGCTGACAGATTTGCAGATTTGTTTCTTTTGTTTACTTTTCCGATCTATTGTCAGCCAGAGGAAGATGAAGAAAAAAAACATTTAAGGTACATAAAAAGGTGTCAGATGGTCTGAAACCTCTGCCGCCTGATTCTCCTCGCGCTTTGATCGTCTTCTGAATCTTCTCCTATAGTATAGAGCCCAATCATTCGACAGGTGTCACAATGAGAATCTGTCTTTCCAAAATGAACATGTCCATCAGTAGACGGCTGAATCGTGTTTCTCCTCATCTGAACAACTGTATGTGATGTAAGAAGCTCCATAGACTCTCTGTGGCCCCTTTGAGCTGCACGTTGTAGAGCAGTAAACTCAAACCTATCAGCAGCTGTGACGTCACTTCCGTATGTTAACAAAGCTTCAATAGTTTCTTTGTGGTTGTTATGTGCTGCACGATGCAAAGGCGTTAATCCCCAAAAGTCTTTGGCGTGTACATCTCCACCGTGTGTCGCTATCAACTCACAGGTTTCTGTGTGGCCATTCTGCGCTGCAAGATGAAGAGCTGTATGTCCTTTCTCCATAGAATCATTCACGGAACACCCATTGTCGATCAAAACTCGACAAGTGTCTTGGAAGCCGCCATAAGCAGCAAGAATCAGGGGGTTTGATTTCTCTTTATTGAAGTCTTTCACATTGCCTCCATGACGAATGAGACGTTCTACCACTGTGGTGTGCCCATTTTGTGCTGCGCGATGCATAGGGGTGTATCCCCATTGATCTTTGGTATGAATATTACTTTTCCCATCAACAATCAATGCCTGAACTGTGTCTTTATGGCCATATTTTGCTGCGCAATGTAAAGGGATAGAGCCAGTTTTGTCCACTGCGTGTGCATTTGCATTGTGTGCCAGCAGAATCCCTACAGTACTTGTATGTCCATTATGCGCGGCTCGATGCAAAGACGTGTTTCCCCATTTGTCCAGGTGGTCAATATCGCTTCCCTGCAAAATTAAGTAGCTTACGACACCCGCGTGGCCATTCTCGGATGCTCTGTGCAGAGCTGAACAATTCCAATGATCAAGACAATGTAAGTAAGCACCTTCCTTTAAAAGCAATTCCACTGTCTCTTTGTGACCATTCTCAGAAGCTAGATGCAACGAAGTATGCCCAACAAAGCGACAGCTCTCTTCTGAATAATCTGCTGAGGTTGCAGATCTCAATATTGACGATGACAAGACTAATGCATGTGTCTTGGCATTTATTTCGCTGCCCTCACTAAGCAAGAGCTCTGTTGTTTCTCTGTGTCCATTTTGTGAAGCACGATGTAATGGACTGAAACCTTGGAAATCAATCGCTTTGACACTACTGCCACTTCTTATAAGAAGTTTAGCTGTGCTGGTATGTCCTTTCTCCGCAGCTCTGTGAAGTGGTGTATATCCCCAGCAATCTTTTGCTTGGATGTTGCTATCATGCAACACCAATACTCGGGCGGTGTCTGTATGGCCATTACTAGCACATCGATGAAGTGGTGTGAACTTCCATTTGTCTTCAATGGATACTCTGGATCCATGTTTAATAAGGAATGCTGTTGTGTCAGTGTAACCATTTTCAGCTGATCTGTGCAAAGGTGTATAGCCCCAGTCGTCCTGACAATTAGGGTCGCTTTTACTTGAGACCAAGTATTGGACTACATCCTTAAAGCCATTCTTTGAAGCTCGATGTAATGCTGTTAGTCCCCACTTGTCTTTCAATGATACCTCACTGCCATTCTCAATTAACAGTTTTACTATTTGTATATGCCCTCTTTCGGATGCAAAATGAAGACTGGTGTTACCAGTGGTCTGGTGACGAGCATTTAAATTAGATCCAACTTTAATGAGGTACTTGCAGCACTTCAGGTGGCCATAGTTCGAAGCAATCATCAGTGGTGTTAATCCTTTGCCATTCTTAGCCGTTACATTACCTGTTGCGTTTAACAGCGCTTTTACAGTTCCGTTTTGTCCAGTCTGACAGGCACGATGCAACGGCGTGTTCCCAGTAGTGTCAACAACATTGACATCAGCTCCTTTTACAATGAGAAACTTGGCGAACTCAACATTTCCTTTCACTGATGCAAAATGTAGAGCTCTCTTCCCAGATTTATGTCTTGCATTTAGCTTGGCACCATTGATGATCAGCAAATCTCCGACACCTTCATTGCCATGATATGCTGCAATCATCAAAGGAGTAATGCCATCTTTCGCGTGGGCATTTACCCTAGCACCTTGTCTGATGAGTTCCTGTGCCACTTCAGTGCAGTTTGTCTGAGCAGTAAAATGTAATGGAGTGAAGTCATGACCATCTCTGGCATTAACATCAGCTTCCCTCTCAATAAGAATCCTTGCTATGTGAGCCTTGCCAGAAAACACTGCATAGTGCATTGAGGTATATCCGCAGTGGTCTCTCCTTTCAAGATCGCATCCGCTTTCTAATAACTTCTCAATAGTGTTTGGCTGCGCATTTAGAACAGCTAAATGCAGGGGCGTACAACCTTCATTTGTCTTTGTTTCAGGGTCACTACCTTTGTCTAGAAGCTCCTTCACAGCGATACTACTTCCATGGTACGCAGCAAAATGGAGTGCTGTCTGGCCTTTGAGGTTTCTCTCCTTCACTTTTGCCCCTCGTTTGACAAGAAGATGAATTGCAGTCTTATCGTTATTAATAGAAGCTAAAATCAATGACGTCATCCCTTTATCATTACGAGCGTTCACGTCTGCGCCGAGACGAACTAAAACACGAACAGCCTCAATATGTCCCGACGAGCATGCCATCAAAATTGGCGTTTGCTGACCGGTAGAGCTTGCATCAACGTCAAAGTCAGCTTCGTTTACCAGCCGTCTAACGGCAAGTGCATCTCCTAAAGCTGCAGCCACGTGAAGAGGTGTTAACGAATTAATAGATATCTGCTCTTCTTTTGAACATTTCTGAAGTTTGTTGATTTTCACTTGCTTCAATTCATTGATAACGTCTTGTATGGAATCGAGGATTCCAAAGTTTCTTGTCGATTTGGGGCTAGTTGTAAATACTCTGTCCTCGTTTATAAGATAACCATGGCCTAGATCTGCAAAACTTGATTCGAATGGAAGAGAGAAGTCACATTCAGACGGGGTGCTTATACCTATAAGAGAGCTGACACTTGCTCCGCGACCATGCCGCTCTTGATGATCGTCAAAGTTATCCATTGTCTGCAAACAAGCTGAGAGGGTAAATGGAATTTGTTAGTTTAGTTTATTGTTTGGCTTTCTAGTACCTTCTGTTTTAATTAGCAGTCGGTTTACGAGAAAATTACCGGCTAAGAGAGTTTAATGATATGGCTAATGGTCTTTATTTAAAATTTGATCTTGATCAGATTTCATTACTTGCACAATAAATCTAAGCAATAAATTCCATTTTGACTACTGTCTGATATACCAATAAAGTCACAATACTTCGTGGGATGATCTCAAGTGTTTACAAACTATTGAATGTTTAAACTCATTCTTAACAAAAGAACTCATCGATGCATGATATGCATGCATACACTGATCAAGTCTATGGCCGTTTCTTTATCATACTTGCCAACAGAACACTTTTTTGAAGATTTGTGTTAGAGTTGCGCCCTCATATAGTATATAGTAAATAAACTGTGGAAAAATTGTCGTCCTTATTATTTTATAAATTATTAATCGCAACGATCGGTGATTATTTCTGTCTCTATGTTTAACCAACGTTATCCAAACTTTTGGTGGATAATATTTTAAAAGAACTACACTTGACTGAGTAATTTTCATCTCATTTTTTTTTTCAAAATTCAAGCAAGATAACTGCACAGACATTTTGAAGGGATACATACACGTATTCAAAGACGTCAGCAAGACTTTCTGAGGCATAGGGAGGCTGATACGTCTGTAAAATAATAATTTTAAATACTGTTTCCCATGAGTTTTCAAAGAACTTACTTCAAAGACCTTTAAAAAGAGCTTAGTGATGATAGCCGAATGGGGGAAATTTTTATGTCGATATGAGAGTTAAGATTATCTTTAATCTTACTCTATTTCAAGCAGAGAGATATTTTGTCGATAACGATTTGCGATTACTTACGAAGTGTGATGTTATTACGCCTCATTTTAAATAACTTCAAAGAAGACCTTTGTAAACTGTTCGGCTGTCAGGCGATATTATCAGCCACCGTTCATTTCAGAGCAACATTAAGCCGGACTATCTAAAACAGTCAATTTAGACAACTAGATCCGCTAATTCGAGCTATACACTGAATTTTCGACGGTGCACAGAGTCAACAAAACTCAGTACCTCACCAACACTTCGTAACACGAGGTAACGCTACTTAATAAAAAGCAGTTATTAGCGACTATCAGACGCATTCAGCTCCTACTCGTAAATGAACTCTCTAGACACCTTACCTAATGAAACAAACTTTTCGTAAGTGATCTTCTGGTAACACCGTCACAAACACGACGAATAGAAGCCTTTAGACAATAGCACATGAAAGTGCGTGATATTATTGTATCACCGCATTTACTACACTGTATGTGCCAAAGTGTAGCCAAATGGATGGCAATAGAAATGCAAATGAAAATGTCGTGAAATGGTTGCCAGTACAGTCCTCATGGATGCCGAATTATATCATAATTAGACACAAATCACAGCTGCAACAGGTAGCGTAATTTAGGCAGATGTCGCCGCACAGGAGTTAACGGTAACAAGCAAGAGTTGTGTACCAGCAAACTACTCAAGCGGGACATTGTGTGTGACTCTCTCAGTTCCGTAAACAACAAATGTGTATTTCTTTGTTCGTGTTCATTCCGTGGAGTTAATTACCTTTGATGAATTTAATATATTAAGTTATCAAAAGACAGTGTTTTTGAGGGTTTTTCAAACTTCGCCCCTTGAAGGAAAATAAAAGCTGAAGAAAAAAACAACATTTAGTTTTAAGTAACATTAAATGGCGAATGTAGTGGTTGTCTCAAACACTAATTGTCGTTTTCAAGTTTTACTTATAATTAGCATTGATATTGAAAACATTTATTGGAGAAACCGTTTCCAAGCAAAGCGTCTTAGTGACGTAAGGTCTAGGCAGGCCACGGCGTGCGTCATAAGTTTTGTTTCTTTGATCAAAAGTGGAAGAATTTTACATAAACTTTGTTATATATGATAGATATTTATCAGCCTCAGGCAGAATCTGTTCATCGATGAATGCTCGTTTATATTAAACTCTTGAGAAAAAGCAATGACGCAAAGTCGCAAATTTGTCTCCCTGACAGTCCTTTTTTAACTTTTTAAGGTTAAACCCAAACCCGCAACCAACAAGATCTTTAAAATGTACTTTTATTCCACCCAAAAGTTACTAGTTGAGGTGCCATACCACTCTTTTCGAGGAGGCGGCTACACACAGGTTACTCTTTTCGCAACTAGATACAAAAGGCAAGGCCGTCTATACCACGTACCACGGAGTATGTCTAAGTGTCGCGGGTCGAGACTCGCGGGTAGAAGTCGCAGGTGCGGGTGCGGGTAAGTGTCGCGGGTAATAATAAATCACCAAATTTAACAAAAAGATTAAAAAAAACAACAAAACAAAAATTTCTTTTCTAATATTTTTTTAACGAAGACTAGTCAGCAATACAAAGGAAGACTTGTAAGCTTTTCCGTAAATTTCCGACGCGTTTCGTCTCTTACTGAGACTTCTTCAGGGAATGAATACAACTAACCAAGAACAGCATATATAACACATTTTCTGCGTAAGGAAAAATCCGATAGAAGTGAATAATAACTTAACTATGCTGTAAACGGACGTTATGAGAAACGCCTTAATACATATGTTATTACGTGTTGTCATATTTTGGGGGCCATACGATCAGCGCTAATCGTACACAGCTATTTCGAGAAAGGTTGTCGGAAAAAGCGCACGCGACAATCCAGAAAGGTATTGTGGGTGGTTTTAAGTTCACTGGAGAGGCCATGGACTTATGTTTGCGAGTGCTAAAGGAAAGCAACAAAAGTAGGTTCGACAGCTACAGTGTCAGGGGACAGTGTATTGATCATATCCCATATTACCTTTCGGGATTGTCGCGTGCACAGTTTTTCCGACAACCTTTCTCGAAATAGCTGTATATGGCCTCCAAAAACTAAACGGAGCTATCGGACTCCATTACGATAAAGAATCGATCGATCGAAGTAAACCTGGAAATGTTCTTCCTTTTTGTCACTCTTTGAAATCAGAACTATGAATGAAACTTTTACCCACGTGCACAGGTATTATTGCCGTGATCAAGTCGCCAGTGACGTGGGAAAAATTCGATTTACCAGGATTGTAAATTCTTTCGTGTGACCTGACTGCGCCAAAATTGAGCACGAATGACGAATGACAACTCTCGATTCATACTTTGTGCTGAGGACGTAAGTACACGCAAGTCTCATTTAGTGTAAAAAGAAGTCAAAGCTGTATTTTCGATGAGCCAAATTTTGTCTTCATATATAAACAGGGTAAAAACAACTTCTTTTAAGTGGACAAGTCACATAAGCTGACATTACGAACCCTTACACTGAATAAAGAAGGGGTCAAGAAGGAGAGAGAAAACATAGCGGGTGGTCAAGAATGTGGTTCAAGGGGAGGGGAGACTGCTTTTATCAAAAAAAATAGCCACCTTTGTAAGATTTTGCTGTAGGTCTTGATCATTTCTTTTTGTTTAATTTCAAGGGCCCGTAGTTGAAAAACAAAAAAAGTTCTAATTGAAGTATTATATGGTCTTCTTAAATGTAATAGCTATTTCTAACTATTTCCTGACTAACCTATCACAGCGCTAAACCTTGGTATCACTTGCCATTTTCAGGCCTTGGGGTGGGGGAAGGGGGATCCTGAGGAAATTTTGATTTTTCCATTTTTTCCTCAAAAATGAAGAGAGAAATGTACTAGGCATGGAGGAAACAAGATTTACGACTGATAACTCGCAAGATGGTAGTGATTAAAACCCAACTGGGAGATTACGCATTAATGCCCCCAAAACTAATTTTATATGTCTTGACTTGCAAAAAGAAGAAAAAAAGAAGTAATAGTTAAAGTACTGTTTTTCAGTCCGATGGGGTTTCGGCTGTTTAAAGTGGGCACTTAGTTTTTACACTCCTTTTCCAATACACTTCGCTGCTAGATAAAGGTAATATAAAGGTCATCAAAGGGCCAACTATTTTTTTGTAATATTACAACTTTAAGTACTCTTAAACCCTGGATGAACAAGGTAGGGGGGTGGGTGCAGTCCCCGGAAGGTTGTTTGAATCAACCATCAAGACAAGTCATCACATATCCACACTTGGCGTCGGAGCCGGAGCTCGAGCGCAATACCAGAACCATAAAAAAGCTGAAAGACTTTTGAAAACGTCCGCAAAACAGCTACATAAAATGAACGAATTTAAGGTTTTGTNAACATAGCGGGTGGTCAAGAATGTGGTTCAAGGGGAGGGGAGACTGCTTTTATCAAAAAAAATAGCCACCTTTGTAAGATTTTGCTGTAGGTCTTGATCATTTCTTTTTGTTTAATTTCAAGGGCCCGTAGCTGAAAAACAAAAAAAGTTCTAATTGAAGTATTATATGGTCTTCTTAAATGTAATAGCTATTTCTAACTATTTCCTGTCTAACCTATCACAGCGCTAAACCTTGGTATCACTTGCCATTTTCAGGCCTTGGGGTGGGGGAAGGGGGATCTTGAGGAAATTTTGATTTTTCCATTTTTTCCTCAAAAATGAAGAGAGAAATGTACTAGGCATAGAGGAAACAAGATTTACGACTGATAACTCGCAAGATGGTAATGATTAAAACCCAACTGGGAGATTACGCATTAATGCCCCCAAAACTAATTTTATATGTCTTGACTTGCAAAAAGAAGAAAAAAAGAAGTAATAGTTAAAGTACTGTTTTTCAGTCCGATGGGGTTTCGGCTGTTTAAAGTGGGCACTTAGTTTTTACACTCCTTTTCCAATACACTTCGCTGCTAGATAAAGGTAATATAAAGGTCATCAAAGGGCCAACTATTTTTTTGTAATATTACAACTTTAAGTACTCTTAAACCCTGGATGAACAAGGTAGGGGGGTGGGTGCAGTCCCCGGAAGGTTGTTTGAATCAACCATCAAGACAAGTCATCACATATCCACACTTGGCGTCGGAGCCGGAGCTCGAGCGCAATACCAGAACCA